ATTACTATTACTATTACTATTACTATTACTATTATTATTACTATTATTATTACTATTACTATTATTGTTGTTGTTATGAATTTTATCAATCTTGAACCTGAAAGATAGACAAATTATCAATCCGGAACATTAAGGATGAAATGTATCAGTATATGACTCGAAAGATGAAAAACTATCAATCTAGAACCTAACATTTCATAGGTTTTGATTTATTTAATTTTTTATGGAGTATTAATTCCATTGCTAATATATGGTGAAATTTTATTCATATCACAAAAGTTTATTAGTTTAATAAAACTAAATATAATTTAAATTTTTTAAAATAAAAATAAAAATAAAATTTAGGAAAACTTAGGTCTTAAATTGATAGTTTTCAATCATTCAGATCCTAGATTGATAGTTTTCCATCATTCGGGCCCTATGCCGATACATTTCATCTTTCAGGTCCCGAATTGATAGTTTATCTATCTTTCAGATCCTGGATCATTAATATCATCATCAGCATCAACATCATCGTCATTAATATTATTATCATTATAATTATTATTATTATGATTGCCTTACGTTTTTGGCAATATGTCTAACCTATTCCTAGTATTTGTTCACCAGTTCCCATCTTCACATGAATGTGATTCAAGTATTCAAATTTACTGTGGATGTTAATTACAATCATGATATGAAACCACAAGATGTTCAGTTAATATTTTTTACCAAGTAGTAAAAACGACAAAAATATTTTGAAATAATGACAAAAAATGCAAGAAAAAATTCTATTAAAACTACTCTTTAAAATTTGGTGGACAAAATATTACTCCGACTTAGTAACTATTAGTGACTACAATTATGTTCAAATTTCAATCATAGTAATTACATGTAGGTTAATATGAATTGCTATGATATAAATATGAACACAATCGTAGTCACTATCAACCCTTTGAAATGGTGAAGTTAGAGAAGAGTCAGAAGATTGCTGATAAACTAGAGGTTGAAAAGATTGTGGGTGAGAAACTGAGAATCCGCAGCCACTTTGAGTGCTTCTCTCCTCCATGTTGGGATGCCCGAAGCAGAAAATGGAAGATTGTATTGATGCAGTCGTGAAGCAGGCTAGGTCGAGGCTGTGGAGGAAGCAATGAATGTTGCTGAGGACACTCAGCAGAAGCTTGACAAGGTTATTTAGGCAGCTCTAACTAGGGATGGATGATGGATCCGGACCGGAACTGGAACCGTCGGTCCCGGTCCTTGAACCGCCGGTCCCAGTTTTTGAAACTGAGGACCGGAACCGGACCGGTTGTTTACGTACCCGGTTCCGGTCCGGCCGATCCCAGTTCCGGTGCGGTCCTTTATTTTTTTAAGTTATTGAAAAATAAAAACATGATGTATATTTATTATTATAAACACTACAATATCACTTGTATCAATATCACATTTGAAAATTACAATTGAGAATACTTTAAAGTTGAAAATTGAAATACATGAACTAATCATCGTCGCAGCCGCTTCGGCGTCGGTTGTTGTTTCCTCCATGAAATGACGGTCCGGTGCTATGTTGAGTTCTTGTGTTCTACGGCGAGCCTTCAACCAATCATGGAAGCAAACGAGTGTCTCGAGAGATGAAACGCTCAACCTGGTTCTATAATTAGTTAAAACATTACCGGCTTGGCTAATCTCTTGTTTCACGACAACACTTGAAACCGGCATCGACAACACTTGTTTGGTCATTTTTCATAAAATTGGTAACATCCCTTCGTGTTTCTTCCACCATGCAAGAATATCAAAGTCTTCCGCTTCATTATACTCAACATGAAACGTTAGATATAAAGAGAGCTTGTTAATCGAGCTTTGTGCAATGACAGGAGTTGACTTACTTTTTTTCAAAAGAGTAGATATTGTTAATTTAAAAAAGCCTTTTCCTTTAGATGAGGAAGCACTCGATGTTGGGTGAGGGGGTGCATTACCATATTGTGCATAAAACTCATTAAATAAAGTGTGAAATAGATTACTAACCTCGTTGAATTGGGCTTGAGGATCTATTGGTGTGTCTTCGTACATAGGGAATGGACCGTAGAAAGCACAGTATAATAGTATTCTAAAAATGTTTTATAATGCGAAAGTTTGAAACGAGGATCAAGACAGAAAGCAATAGGATAAATAGGTAGAATGTAGGCATAATATTTTAAAAACTTTTCTTTCATGAATTCACAAACATAATGCATTAATGCACATAAGCAGTTTCAGAAAATTCTGTAAAAGCACCAGCGAGGTTAACAACTTCTATAAAAATTTGGTTGCTAGTTGGTTTATACACATAGGGAAAATTTTGAGTAGCGTTGTTAAAATAAACTAAAACGTTGCAAATCTTTTCCATTGTGTCGATCTCAACTCGTTCTATAATATAATTACAAGTTTCTTTCATGAAATCAGGAAAATGATCTTTATATTTAAGAAACACAAGAATTAAATTACAAGTACTGTTCCAACGAATAGAAAGATCTTTAGGAAAAGCACAATACCTTACTTTTATATAAGTATATAAATATAGTTATAATATGAGAATATATGAATTACTCCGTATAAAAGATGAAAGTGTAAATGTAAATAGAGTAATATTAGTGATTGAGAAATTGAGAACTGAGACTCTGAGAGTAGAATGTGAGTAGAGGTAGAATAGTATGAAAAAATATTTAAAATGAGTAGGTATTTATAAAAAAATTGATGACCCCCAATTCCCAAACCCCCCACCCCCAACTCCCCCACCCGCCCAAACTAGCCGCAAACGGCTAGTTTGACCCCAGCCCCCTATTAATAAAAAAAAAATTGACCGTTGGGATCGGAACTGGGATCAGGACCGCCTGGTCCGGTCCCAAAAATTGTAGCTCGGGACCGAAACTGTATTTACCCGATCGGATACTCGGTCCTAGACCGGAACCGAAAAACCGGAACCGATCCAATCCCAAACAGTACCGGACCCGGTTCCGGACAGGTCCGGAACCACCGACCGGGTCCAACCCTAGGCAGCTCATAACTCTGCCCTCAATGAGCTCGTATTACTAATGGAGTAATGGTGCGGACTGCGCAGGGCCGGTCCTGAGAAAATATGGGCCCTGTGCAAAAAACAAATGTGGCATTTTCCTAAAATAACTCTTATTTAAAATTTAATAATGCTTATAATATTAAATTAAAAACTAATGTATCACTATCTAAAATAGAATTCATAAATGTAAGATGTGTTTGGAATTGAATGGATAATTTGTCAAAGTAATATTTATATAAAAAATTATAAATATAGTTGATAAATCTAATGAATATTTCATAAATATCTAATTGGTTATTAATTTAATAATGGCATGGAATACAAAAAATAGTCATTACTTTGATTACATGTTAATTTCAATAATTGTAGTTGATGATATTGGGCTTAAAATCTTATGAGTTATATCAATAATTCTTTGGTACAAAAACAAAAATTGAAAGACTGTTAACATCAACCAATTTGGTTGAACTGGTTCGCCGCCGGCGTGTGTGAGAATGTTGGCAAGGGTTCGATTCCCCTGACTCAAAACTTTTTAATTAAATAGTGGGATTTTACTCATTGGGCTCTAATTAGTTAGAAGGACTACAAAAAAATTGGGCCTTCAGGATTTTCGGGCCCTGTGCGATCTCACAGGTGGCACTTGGCCTGGGCCGGCCCTGGGACTGCGGATCACCAAAAGTGGATGATCGTAACTATATGTAGTTGTCACGGGTGATTTTTAATAGGGTTTTTAACCTAAATATTACTAAAGTAAACACAATTTCCAAAAATGTGACCACATTAACATTAGGACAAAAATGTGACTAAAAAGGTCATATTAATGTCATTGCCAGATTTTAAAGTCACTATACAATTTTAATGTCACTGTAGCCACCGCCTGTGTCACAGCAGCCACCGTCTGTGTCACTATAACCACCGCCCATGTCACTTTAGCCACCGCCCATGTCACTATAGCCACCGTCCATGTCACTTTTGCCATCGTTTGTGTCACTGTAGCCGCCGCCGCAACCGTCACTACACTGTCGGCCACCGCCGCAGGCACACCACCCAATTACTGCCGCCACACTGCTTCATCTGGTGACCACCGCCTAGCCCCACCGGCAACAGCCCCCGACGACCACTGATACCACTCCCCAGCTTCAATCACTGCCCCACCACCACCCCTGCCACTGGCAATATCTCACCCCAGCCCTACCCCTGCCACTATCCCACCCAGCCCGATCAGATTCCGGCCGCACCCTTTTTACCAGCCAACCACTGCCTCACCACGCTCAACACCCCATATTCTGGCCGCACCCCCTTTTACCTCTCCAACCACCCCAAATGTTGCACCCCACCCCGCAACCCAAGTTGTTGAGCAAAATTGACCTCATAATTGCAACACCACAGTAGATCTGGACCCTACCCATCGATCTGAAACAGTAGCCGTCGAAAATGGACGACTGCTCCATGGGATAGGGACGACGACGGGTGAGCAGAGGTGGGCGAGCAGGGCTTGATTACAGACAAGAAAAATGGAGATGGATTGCAACGGCCGACGCCTCCATCGCTCTTCGTAACCTCCGGTGGTCGCCATCTTCATCGCTCTCCATTGCAGAAGACAGGAGAGGAATTGACCGTAGAATCGATGCATAGGAAGGATGGTCGCCATCTTCGTCGCAAGGGCTGATGCCATCTTCGTCGCAAGGCTCCAAGGAGGTTGGGTAGCTGATATTGCGCAAAGGCCGACGGGATAGGGTGCTGAAGCGGAAGAGTTTTTATTTTTAAATGGTCACTTTTTTGTAAAACTCAAAACTGGTCATATTTTTGTCCATCTAAAGTGTCCAAGTAATATCCTTGCCATTATTTCTTTTTAATATCTAGTGATGGAAAAACAGATTGATGTGTTCTATACTTTTCTGAAGAACTTGAAACCCCCCCTTCTTTTTTTTTTGGCAAATGAAACCCCCCTTCATTTTTCTAAATTTAGAAATCAGGTGAATTGAACTTTATCTGTTCTCTAATTATAAAGAACAAAAGATAACTCTTCTAGGCTAGAACGTGGTCCAATACAAACACTATATTTTGACCTGGTACATTTTGCATTTCCTGCACATAAGAGTCAAAGACCTATTTTTCACCCAAACTGACATTCGAAACTTAGGCACATCCTATCTACACACAACAAAAACAACATCTAAGCCTTAGTCCCAAAAGATTTTGAGGCCGGCTAACAAGAATCGATCCATGATATTAATGCCAGCACACACCCTATCTACACCTGGAGACAAAATAGTGGTTCAAGTCAAGCAATCTCTTATAAAGGTTTCCAAACTGTGAGGACTTCATGAAACATTTCGAGCATCAGTTCTCTGTCAGCCTGCCTGAAGAAGATATTAATTTCTTCCCTCAAATCATAAATCTTGCCAAAGTCAAACAAATATGCCAAGCACCCTTTCTTCAGTTTATGCAGCTGGTAAACCCAGGCTTCTTGCAACCTCTCAAGAACATTAAGGGTGGTAATATCATCTAATAGACTTTCCTCACAAGCATCTTTCATGTCTGCAATGTCATACTTGTTTGCTGCCCCTAGCAGTGCCAATCGATGTTTCCAGAAATCCTCCTGTTTAATTGTCCCATATATGTATCCCAGAAGTGCCATGCATGAATCTGTTGACATGTCTTCTATGTTAATAACTGATGACACTTTCTCCTTTAGGTTATGGAGGAACATGCTGTGGAATACTGGAGAGCTGGCAGAAAGAACTGCCTTGTGAGCTTGTAGTGATCCATCAGCTGTATTGATAGTTACATCAGCGTGTATGGACTCATAAAGCATGCGAGAGAGACACCTAAGAGTGGTTTGGGTAGCCATAGAATGCATCATACTGTCACCAGGCCATATGGAAGTTCCTTCACCCTGTGATATAAAGACTAGGTAAATATGTCAACAACAACAACAACTTCCAAGTCCTAGTCCGGAAAGAGTTTGGGGTCGGCTAACAGCATTACATATTATATAAAATTTACATTATACATAGTATCAAACATCAAACAAGACTAGATTTAAACAAACCATACCAGTCTTACAGACAATACTAGACCAATTTAAACTCAACTGACAAAATTCATGCCGAGAGAACATGCCCTTAGATGTCAATCAATTTCACGTATTAAAGAACAGAGAGGGAGTATGTATGTATGTATGTACTTCAATTGTTAGATCCGACGCAATAGTTTGGTAATGAACTCACATTTTTTTGGTAGATCTTTAGGTCATGGAACTCAACATCAATGATGAGGTGTCCTTGAAGGTTGGAATCAATAGGCCAAGCAAAATCATCGCTTGACCGAAGAACTCTGTCAAAAACTGCAACACAAAGCAGAGGTTATTATCCAAATATATATAAACAGGCTAGGACATTTGCTTAGTAAAAATATGTTACATGAAGGCCTCCAAAGCTACAAAACCATAACCAGTGCTTAAAATGGAGGGTGCCTTGTTGCTACTATCTTCACATAGAAGGTTTTAATTACAGCAGAGTTCATAGGAATAACCTCACCTATTGGTGTTCTTCCATATTTTCCTAGATATGCAATTCAAACAACTCCTTTGAAAGTATTATGCTTTGTTGATATTATCTTCACATAGAAGCCTAGAAGGTTATAATTACATAAGAGTTCATAGGAATAGTCTCACCTACTGGTGTTATTCCATATTATCCTAGATACTCGCAGTTCAAGTATAATATCAATAGTCCATGGCAAAATAGAAAATTTTGATGCCTATTTTTTCAAACAATTCCAAAAGTATAATCATTACAATTATCAACAATTTAATGCGATTATTATATGTGGTTCTGTACAATAATTTTACAATATTTATGATTCTATGAATATATCAAAGATAAATAGACACTCTTTAACTTTTTTGCATTGGAAAAGGGGTAAATACTAGACTATTACTTATCCTATGGAGCCCTCATTGCTCTTGTTTAACGGGTTCTTTCAAATAAATGGTTGCCATTTGTAATTTCTCATAGTAAGAATGGAGCAATTCTATATGAGGGAACAAATACAAGCAATTTACTATGCATTCAATAAGTAAAAATCCACATAAGGGGTTTATACTAATACGTATTATATATGACCAAGCAGATCACACTTATTCAGCATTATTAGTCATTTTGCTTTCTTTCGAGTCAATTTGGGTCAAATAAATAATAAACGATCTAAGTTGCAATTTTAACAACCTTGATTGTAACAAGATAGAATACATGCTTAGGATACTAAAATTATAAGATAAAAGTAGGATAAACATTATTTCTACCTTATGTGCGGACTACACGTGGAAAAATTATTATGATTCTATTCTTGTATTCCGTAAATGATAGATGGCGGTTGTGGAAACGAGATAGTGACAGTGGCAGCAATATAGGAGGTAGTGGTGCTTGGCGCGAGGGTGGTAATGATAGTGGTGATTGTGGTAATGGCGACACTAGTGATTGTAGTGGCGACAGTAATGCTGATGGTGACAAAAGTAGAGGGCATAGCAAAAGTGGTGATGGTGGCAACTAGTGGATGGCGACGAAGGTGATAGCGGCACCAATGATGAAAAAAGAGGTGTTATTGGTGAGAGGGAGGAGGGGACATTAATTGGTACAATTGCGGAGTATATGTAATAATTTAATGTGTACTCCGTAGTATACTGTAAACAATATTACTTACTATGATTCTTTTTAAAAACACTTTAAACATAAATGGCTGATTATTTACAAAATTAAAACATTAAAAAATAATGCTATTTGTGGATAAAATAATTATGGGACGGTAATATAGGTCATGCATATAATCTGATTCTTTACACTTGCGAAATCAAGTTCATCTGTGGGGTCAATTGTCTGCACCGGAAATCTAAATTCACGACCAACTTTAGATGACATCATACCAAAATAGAAAAATGCTTTTATACAAATCAATACACTGAACTTCACTAAATATACAATTTGGTGTCCAAACTAGTCATTTTAACCTATGTTATTTAATAGGTGAGTACTAGACAAGAACTCCTTACTCGGCCCTAGGCCTTGCCGAAATGTATACCATCTACCTACTCAGTTTAATTCAAAAAACCGAGCTACTCAGTTGCCATAGAGACTTATTGAGTGAAAATGTGAGATCACCCTGCAAGTAACTCAGTCTTTGTTGAATGGGAACATGAAAAATAAAAAATGGATCATTAGTAGATTAAATAAAAATTAGAAACTTCAATTCAATAAAATACCTTTTCAATGTTGTTAAAGTTATAAAATCTCACTCAAAAGATGTTTCTTGACATGGAAGGAGATGAAGATAATATTGATCTTGAACCAAATGATGATTAAATTACAATTTAAGAAGCTAGGATTGATTAGATGAAGTGATTTTCCATTAAAAGGTACTATTGTATTTGTTAGTTTCTTTTTCGCGATTTTGAAAGATAAATATGATATATGTTGTGTACTTGACTAAAAATGAACCTAGTAATTGTATTAATTTGAGTCAACCGAAAACTGAAAACAGTTTTTTGGGTTATTTTGGTTTTAGTTTTCAAAAACAGGAAACCAAACACAGAAAACGTATGAAAAGAGGCCAGCTATTAAACAGTTGTTAAAATAAGAGCAATTAAATTTTCTTCCCTAGATAGGACTTATTTAATCCTATTAAAAGTGATTAAAACTTCCAAAATTAGGGGTGGATGGGTGCTATTTTGGGAATTACACAGCAGTAATCATATATATGAATTGTGTCCTTGTTTTAATCCTATTTAAGGAATTTTCTCCTAAAACAAACATGAAGGTAAGAGAAAGAGTGGAAAGAATGCCTTGGGAGATGAGGGGTTGGCGGTTGGTTGAAGGAGCGGCGACTCTTAGGACAAACTTTGCCCCTGGAGGCTGGTCCTTGGAAGCCCGAGTAGGTTCGGGGAACAGCCGAATATACACATATCGATTCCTCTCCACTGATAAATGCCTGTTTACAAATTTTCGTTAACATTATTACCAATTAGCAATAAGAAAACGAAAAGAACAGAGGAAATAAATCACCGAAGCCAAATATGAACCAGCTTTCTCATCTCAGTATATAAGTACCAGTTCCAGATGCCCATTTTGAACGGGTCGGATCGTTTGTATGTCGAGGGTCCAAAATTCTCGATCTTCCACTGCGCCATCCTTGAAATTGTCTCGACCTTGGAGTCCGACATGATTTCCGTCTGCTTCACTCTGCTGACACTCTTCTTCAGCCTCCGAGGCAGAGGGGACCGAACTTTGCAGGTAAGTTTACTCCTGAGTGCTGGCTACCTTTTGACTTCTTTCTGACCTCATGTATTACAGTCCAATTTAAATCGTCCCAACTTACACTCCCCACGGGTAGGTCTCAGGTGTCATCTTTTTTTTTTTTATGAATGTTCAGACTCGCACAGGTAGGTCAGTTGGTCGAGTATTGAGAAAATTGGATCAAGTGAGCACAGTTCGAAAAACGCAGTTGCCGTGTGAAGGTTACAGAACCTGAAATAAAGTTGTATCTCTGCTGCCCACGTGTATAAGACATACCGCCGCTTTGCTGATTGAATCACCGTGATTAACTCTCCCATTATCCTATCGAATCGGGGTGGGGTTTCGTGGGTGGGAGATTCCACCTTTTGGACCAAATGAATGTTCGAACATGTCGGTGCTCAATGAATTGAGAAGTAAAAAGTGCCCCATTTTACTTTTTAGGCTACATGCACATCATTTTAGTTAGGCTTAAAGGACAAATAGACCCTTGAACTAACTTAAAGTGTTCAATTAGCTCTTATATAGGAGGTTCAGTCCGGCCATCGCCAATTGTGAAGATTCCCGGTTGAATTTTTTGATGAAATTTTTTAAGCATCTTCTTCATTAAGTCTATTTTACCCTTATCAAATTTCAGCTAAAAATTAAATCGGGAAGGCAGTCAAATGATTTTCCGAAATGTACTATGTTGTTTAACTGCGCAGTTATCTTCAAAAACTCATTTGCTTGCCTTCTCCGATAAATTTTTAGCTGAAATTTGGTATGGGTAAACTAGACTTAATGAAGAACATGCTCAAAAAATGTCATCAAAATATTCCACCGGGAATCATCTGAATTGGCGACGGCTGGACAGAACCTCCTATATAAGGGGCTTATTGAACACTTTAAGTTAGTTCAAGGATCTATTTGACCCTTTAGCCTTTTAGTTATTGTTTGAAATTAAATTTTGAGAATTCTCCTTATACGTCCGACTCTTTTTACTCCCTCCGTCCCGGAATTATCTTCATTCTTTCCTTTTCGGTCCGTTCCAAATTTATCTCCCTTTTCCCTTTTTGGTAAAGAATATGTGATTCACAACCATTCTTACACATTTCTCTCTCCTCTGCATAACTCTCCACCACACAAATCTCACTATCTTAAAACTCGTATCTGGTCAAAACCGGAGTTAAATATGGGACGGAGGGAGTATTATATAAGCTACGCTCTGAACAAACACAGGTAGATCAAGTTGAAAGCAGCAAATTTCTCAAACATGTGTAGATCAAGTCATTTTGAGGGTGCTTGAAGCCATCCCCAATAATAATAATAATAATAATAATAATAATAATAATAATAAAGAGTACGCATGTAATTGATAAATATATACTTACCCTTTATAAAAAAAAAGAGTACGCTTGTAACTAAAATTTAAAAGATGCAAATAAAGAAAAAAAATAATAACGAATCATCAATGTATTTATTATGTAGTCCTATGACGACAAGATGATGGATATTGACATAAATTAACAAAAAATTTTGACATTGCCCTAAATAGGGGTTAATAAACGTTTTGAAATTTTAAAATAGAACTATTATTCTTTGAATATGAGTAATTTTTGCCAAATTTGGGAAAAAATGTCATATTTAAAGTTTGATAATGCCAAACTTGGCAGAAATTACTTTTATTTAGGGAATAAAAACATACTACCTTCGTCCCTTAAAACTTTGCCAAAATTGACCGACACGGAGAATAATAAAGTAAAAACTGTGTGGTTGAGGTTTGTGCAGAGGAGAGAGAAATAACAGAAACCACAAAATAATTGATTAAAAGGGAATGTGACAAAGTTTTTTGAGACGTCCAAAAAAGAAAAGATGACAAAGTTTTAAGGGACGAAAGGAATAATATTCTTATTTTGGAATTACAAAAAGGTTTTACTTCTATTTAGAGAATTTTCCCACAATTTTTAGATCAATAATTTGAATTAGTGACACTTGCTAGCAGGGTATTGTAATATTTAAAGTACATGAATATATAACTCACATTTGATCGCCATCGAGAATGGGACACACACAACTACATGTGGAGGTAATTGAGATGTGAAAAAGATAAATCTCAATTGAACCTTCCACTTCTGAAAGGTCATTCGGCTATATAGCAACTAAATAAGTACTTCCACCGAATGCAACTATCTCTCGGCAAAGATCGTTTGAGTGTGGCTTTAGCGCCTGTATACATGTTGCGCTGAACAGCCTGAACCTGAGTGAAATCCATATTAAGCACATGTGTGACTACTACTTTTAGATAAGTGCATTACTTGCAATGCTTGAATGAGGTGCTCTTGGATACAAAAATGGAAACCCCGACCAAGCGCCCCCAAACTTTGGCTTAAGTAGTAAATTACTATGGAGTATTTAATTTTATATAGCTCTTGAGAAGCGAAATTTAATGTAATGTCTGGTGTGCACAATAAGTCGCCACATTAGGCGAATTTCACACTACCATTGCAAAGACTCGAATAGAAACTTAGGATACAAGAACCCGAGTGAAGACTAAATAAGCCACCGATTCTTAAACGGGAGATAGTACGTCGCTCATCGACGCCAACGAGTGGGGCAGTGGGAGAAAAAATTAGGGAGGGTTAAGAAAAAAATCGTTTATATAATGTTTTACATATAAAAATAAAAGTTTTTCCACGATAGGGGTAGGTCAAGGTAGGGGTGGACTCGGGCCGGGTGGCCCGACCCGGAACCGGCCCGGGACCGGTACTGTTCCGGCCCGACCCGACCCGGTGGCCCGGTCAGTGACCGGTCCGGGTAGGCCCGGCCCGTGGATTTTCCGGTCCGGGCTCGGGTCACCCAAAACAAGGCCCGACCCGGCCGGGCCCGGGCCCAGTTCGGGCCAAAAACTATTTTTTTTCATTTTTTTTTTTAAATTTTCGGGTTGGGCTGGGTATTTTGGGCCATTTGGGGTGGTTTGGGGGGTTGGGGGTGGGAGGGGGGTTAATTAGGAAGAGGAAAACAAAAAAAAATATAATGGGCCCGGCCCGGCCCGGACCCGGTGGTTACCCGGGCCGGTCCCGGGTCCACCATTTCTGACCCGCCGGCCCGCCCGGGCCTAGGCCCAACCCGGACCTGGCCCGGACCCGAGTCCATCCCTAGGTCAAGGGCCCATTTGATAGGGAAAAGGTGCATACTGACTATTAAGGCTAAGATCAAGAAGCACATTAGCCACAAAGGTTATTTTTAGAGCAAAAAAATCAATATTTAACCTTTTAAGATCATATTGCCCATCCCAACTCACATTGTAAGTAACATTGTTTGCTTTCCTCAGCTTTTTTTTGGAAAAATATAACTTAATTATTATTAAAATCGAGAAATGGATACAAATTCGTCATATAAAAGGCTACACTGGGGTGAGACTCAACGCTAAAATCACACTTCACAGCGGCCTAACTCGCTAACTCCACAATGTGGTAGACTCCAAACGGCAATGTTGCGCCTGCTACTTGAAGGGAATTCACAAAAAAAAAGTTCATGGAAAACAGGGGAAATAAAAAGGACAATATCTAGTTTTTCCAGCCACTGGCAAGGAGAAAACGGTTTCACTAGCCCCCGCCAAAGGTTCCTCTTGCATATCACCAAAATCTCCGATCATTAGCGGTGCTTTCCAGGCAGCAGCAGCACTTGCAAGTTTTTTGGATTTGCCTCATCAACATCCATACTGCCTTTAGCACCCTCCTCGATAACAAGCTCTATGACTCTGTGTTTCCTTGGTTCTTCTTGAGTAGTGGTCATTTCCTTGCCTTTCAAGAGAAGACCTTCAACCATGTAGTTTTCCTGATCAATTAAAGCTCTGCCTGAGACCTCCCCCACCATGTTGCTAGGAATCAGCCACCTATTTCCCGGGTGCGTACCACCCCGCCTCATAGCAGCATGTAGCCATGACCCGTAAGGCTTCTCACCAATCTAAGGGGCACTGTGTGGATTAGAAGGACAGAAACGATCTGCATGACCTAGGATCTCACACAGGAAGCAAAAATTTGGAAATCTCTCATAACGAAAATCTACTCATATCCAGCTATCCCTCTCCTGTCGTACCTGCAGGCGTCCAGTTAAAGCCACAGTGATATCGATAGTAACTCTAACACGCAGAACCAGTCTTTGTTTTCCGCCAAGAGAGCCTACGTCTAGTTGCACAAAAGATCTGATGATGTTGGCAATCCCACGGGTTGCCCTTCAGTCATGTATCCTAACGGTAAGTTGTGCACCTGAATCCAAAAATCAACATGATCCGATGGAATTTCAAGGGGCCCGTCAGTACGCCCCACACACCTAACCATCACCAGGTTTTGTTTGAAGGACCAAGACTCTTCATCAGCGACTCTGCTAAGATCTCCTTCATGGTAAAATTGTAAACGAAATTTGGATTCACCTATCTCATCAATTGAAACTCCATGAATTGGTCGCCAAACCATGGCCATGGTTTGACGGAAAGAAATAGCAAGAATGGGTTTATCCGAAACCACTTTGGCCGCAGCCGAAAGACAGACTCTCATCAGCTACATCAGCACTCCCTGTCGGATCTGCTACGAGTACGAATCCCTTGTTCTCCTCCTCGACAATGAATAACATATTGTAATTCTTTGTAATCATCTCCATGATGGAAAATCGCGGTTACAAGCCACAAACAAAGAGACACAGCCCAACTTGACACACAAATTCTTCAAATGGAGAACAACACACAAATACTACGAACAACGTTAAAACGGCGCCGAGATTAATACCTCAGCAGTCGTTCAGAAGCAAAAAACAGCAACCAAGCCTCGGCCACAACGGTGCCGGAAAAAAAACACGAGACACAAGCTCGGAACCAAAACTCAAAACGATAAACAAAGAAACAACGAGCGGAAAGACCTGGAAGCATTG